TTGCTTCTAATTTTTATTTTCCGCGTTTTTTTCTTCAAGTAAGCAACACAACTCATGCCCAGACTATTATTTGTAGCTGAGCAACGTTTTTAACAAATGCGCATGCTCAGACTATTATTTGCACGCAGTTATTTGCAGGTAAATTAACCAATCAAAATTGAGAATACTATAAAGTGAATGATAATTATTACTTGATAATTGTTTAAAATATTCTTGTATATCAGATAAAGATCGGATGCTCATGTTTTAACTAGTACATAATGACAACATACAGGGTGTTTCAAAAATCAGCCATAACCTATTGCAGTAGTCATTCGCTTATGCGACACAAATGATCCTCAATGAATAGAGCTGTCTAAATTACCACAATAAATTACGGTTAATTTGAATTTGAAAGAGTATACTTTTTTATGAGACACCCTGTAGAATGACAACATAAAATATGACAACATCGACTTGATTTTTAGTTTTTTTAATAACAAATATTTATTACTTGATAATTGTTTAAAATTTTCTTTGTGACTGTCTTTCTTTGTTTCTTTCATCTTTTCTGATGCTTCACTGAAGGTTTTCGGAAACCATTCTTGTTCTTTACCACTTGTTGGCTCCTCAGTATTCTATTGCCGGCCTTGGGTTGAACTCGTAAAACAGGCATGTTCAGGTTAACGTACAGATCGTGCGAAACGGTTTCATTTGATAGACAGGAGCGATCGGATGCCTTGAGATGGTTATACAAGCTAATGAGCCTTTCTACATTAGTACTCTCCCCTTGACATGTAAAATTGTCTGGCGTTAGACGGTAAAATAATAAAGTAGGGTGCATCAAGGAGCTTTGCCACTTAAAGGGTTAACAGGATGCATGGGCAGAGTATAATAACTAAAAGTAGGGTTTTGAAAACACATCTAAAGGTATGTTAAAATTTGGACAAAAAGGTGTGTTAAATCAACACCTTTTGTAGAGTGTACATAGCTAATGTTAGTCTCCTATGCAGACCTACTTTAGCGGGTTTGGGCCCGCCACGTACGGTCTGCTTACTTTGGCTAGCAATTCGCCTTCCCATTGTATTCTATTAGCCAATAGCATTCAAATACACTAGACACGCCCACTTTGAATGTCAACTGTAAAGTGTAAACAAGGAGCGTGCGATAATCGAATAATATACGCTATATATACGTATTTAAATGGCCATAAATGTGAACAGATCGAGTTTTTTTATCAATAGCAGTCGAAGTAGAAAATATTGAATATATTTCCAACGAATGTACGCGATAGGTCGAAGACTTAAATGTATATAAAACTATTCACTGGTAATACTTGTTTTGAACTTGACGCGACTGCGTGACGGCATGTATATTCAATATATTATATATACTATAAGTTTCCGAACGTTCAATATCAGAGCGACTTTTGTAATTACGATTTTATTAAACTTTATAAACTGGCTAGTCATATACAAACTTAGAAACCGAAATGTGCAATGAATCAATTCAGTATTTTATATAGGCTGGATTCTGTATTATAAATTTTCATGCAATTAGTATTTATAAATCTATGATCTACACCTGCAGTATTAAAATGTACACTGTAACTTTATAACTTTGTCTTGACGTCTTTGTCCAGTATTAACCGTGTTACAGTAACACCTGCAAACGCTTGTAAAGTAATAAAAACATCGCGAAATATTTTAGGTGATATTGTTTGAGTTTTAATACTACACTGTCTAGTCTGTCTGTTCAAAACAATAGCTCGATAAATTCTAACAGTATTTCTGTATTTCAATTCTAACAAATTCCATATTGTAAATTTGTAGACTGGTATATATGTATAACAAATCACAAATCTCTCAGCTCTCGCAGATAATCGGTTTAAGATATGAATACGTACAAATGAAGATATGAAATGTTCAAAATTATAAAATGTTTTGGACGACCCAAGCCTCAAGGTCAAAGGTCAAGCCCCACAATTTTCGTGGGTAAAGCTGTGATTGGCTAATTTTGAGGAAAGGAATTCTTGGCCAAAGTAAGCATACCTTACGTGAGGGCTCAGCCCGCTAAGTAGGTATGCGTAGGAGACTAAGCTAATGTAGGTAGATAACTTTTTCTTTTTGTGTATATCTTCAGACTGTACATGACCTTCAACAAAGCGAAATGTTTGGTAGACAAATACTGGATGATGAGATATCGTCAATGGGACGAAATAACGCCGTATGTACATGCAGTTATCCTTTTTCTAATTAAACAATGCATTTATTGTATTTATAAAATTTAATGTTTTTTATAGAAGTTGGAAAGCGAAAGAGCCTCAAAGGCCGAATTGCAAAGGGAACTGCAGGAAACAAAGAAGGATATCATTTTTGGAGGTGTTGGAGATGTCGCGCTTGTACTGCTAAGAACTGTAAGTTGTGAGAACGTGAGCTTCTAGGATAAAGATAATTGAAAGTAGCGATAGAATTCGCCGCAAAAAGTTGGTACGGTTCCGTCTTTTTCTTGGTGAACGCTTGCGACGAACCACATTATTGCCACTGAATTCTCTTTAGAAAACCGGGTTTACATTTCAAAAGAAGAACTTTTAATATCCTATATTTTTTATAGATATATACAGTCAATATATAGAGGATATTAGACGGTTGCGAAGAGATATGGATTTCATGTTCGAGTGGCAAAAACAGTATCTCACGAGTGAACGCAGCGAACGAGTGAGATATTGTTTTTGACACGAGAACATAAATCCATATCTTCTCGCATGTTCTGTTTATTATATGGACTTACTGAGAGTGACAAAAATACATACAAAGACGACATGTAAATAAGCACGAGAAAGACCAATATAAAAGCGATATTTTTTAAAATTATAGTGCAAACATAAAACTAGAATAAATATTACTTATCTCATGTCTTTTAAATGTTTTCGTTTTATTTCCAACGTTAATTTCGTTTTAAATACGAACCAAAGACCATTTGTATTTTCAAATACAATAACAATGAAAATGGCGGGAAATTTTCGAACTTCGTATGTCACTCGCAGAGGTGAAATACGGAAAATACGCGCACCTGGTCCCGGATGTAGTGACGTATGAGTTCTACGAGTGTTTTAGTTTCCAGTAAAACACCATTGTCCATATAATAAATATGTATATCAACCATCAACTTTTTAAGGACGATGAAAAGAACTCAAATAAAGATAAATGTCTGCGATAGCTCCTTCAAAAAATCAAGTCCTCCTGGAAAAAACATGAGAAATCATCCCTGAAGAAGTAAGTTTGGATTCTTTAGTGTCAGAAAATTGATAACCGCGTATACCTAAAATTGCCTCGCATCTGCCGATGCACATGTACGCATGTATGTACAAGAAAGCATATGATTGTTTTTATTTCATTTTAATACAAACCAATTGCATGTGTGAATTGTTTAATTATTGAAAAGAGGAAATATATGAACTCTTGCATTAAAACCCTCATACCAGTTAACTTGTGTGAATTTTAATAATATTTAGAACGCAGCTTATGCAGAAGTAAAAGAAAATCCCAATGAAGACAAGTGCTCGTCTCTAAAGATGACACTGGAATATACGAGGTAAAATGGCCTAAAATATATATTGAATGCATTCATTTGTATACGTACAAATCTCGTATTGTTCACACATAATTCTTATCTATACTGATTTTTTTTTTTTAAATTTGAAATTCTTTATGCTATTATTTTAGCCAACAACAGTTATTGGGCAGCTCCCGAAAAAGCGTGCCATGTTTTGCGCACCAAATATAGTAAACGTTATGTAATGGATATTATAGTGTACTGAAAAGTTAACTGGATACCTCCATACACATATATACACACCCTAACCTTAACCTTAAGCCTAACCCTAACCTAACCCCTAACCCTAATACCTATAACCCCTAACCCTAACCTATATTCGTGCGCGAAACATGGAACGATAACCGAAATTTTCCACTTCGGTGGTCTTTACACACGGAAAAAATGACTCAATAAAATGACACGCGTTAGCTGCAACACTATATATGCGCATTTGTTTTCAACTCTGGGGCCGGTTGTATAAAAAAGTGATTAAAGTTAACTATAGTTAGTGGAAACGTCAGCCAATAAGAAGCGCGTATTTGAGAGTTAATCACTATTTAACTACAAAATAGTGATTAAAAAGTGATTAAGAGTTTTATACAACCGGCCCCTGGTCTTTAACAAATTCGAGTTGACATTAGCCGAATTCGCATTAGAGACGGAAAACTCGTTTATATGAAAACCATCTGAATATAAATCTAGGGACGGAAATCCGTCTGAAATTTGATGTAGGTTTTATCTATAAATTTATATGCCTCACCTCAATTCTAGTTCTAGTTTTCGCTCTATTCGTCTCATTTATTCACTTGAATGCGCATTTAAGACGAGTTTCTCATGTAGACGGGATTCCCATCTAACCTTCCCGTCTGTTTGAAAGTTAGATGGAAAAGTTGAGACGGTAAACGGCGTCTGTTGCCGGATTCATATTGAAACTTGTCTCTTCCCGGCAGACTTGGAAAAAGTATCCAATGCTCCTCGGATCCTAAGTTTGCCCATTTCAAATGTTTCTCAAAGCGCGCAGAAACTATGGGGTATTTTATTTGCATAAACTGACTATACCTGTATAAAAACCGTTTAAAAAAGTACTGTATATTGTTTTTATATTTGACTATAAAATTCACTAATTATTGCTTTTATAGCTTACTAACCTTACTTAGGCTGACTGAAACAGAGCCTATAATAGGCTTTAGTTTGTATTTACCTATACTGTAAAATGGAACCTATGGCTTCTTTAATAGTTTAATAGGGCATATCGCCAGTATAGATATGTTCCTCGTGGCATACAAAGTAGAAGTACGCACTGTCGTATTGATATTCATGGATGAAAATTCGGACAGAAATTCATATTTTGGCAAAGTTGGCTAACATATACTGAATGCCCTCTTCCACTTTGCATGAGTATTAATACAACTTCATTAATCATTATGGTACTCTACTATATTCTACTGTACTATTTTGTAATAGAATCCACAGAATCAAAAACTCTTCAAGCTCAATTATATTGCCGTTATGTAGTGGAAAATTAGTGAGGAAAGATTATTGTTCACATTGTTAAAGGGAGTTCAGTTTGTTTCACATTATGATCTGAAACACGATTAGATCCTTTAAACTGTGGAAAATTCACAATGTTCCTCAATCTTGTTACTCAGGTAAATGTTCCTCAGGATCCAGGATCCCACTTTTTTCCAAGTCTGGTTCCCGGATTCATATTACAGTATATGAGTTTCCCTTACGTCTTAGACCAGCCTAGACCTAGGCCTTCTAGTTCTAGTCTTATTTATATATTTTTTAATATTTAGCGCTTTTTCACAGGAAAAGACTGGGACTAGGTGATTTGGGGGCGGGGCGGAGGAAGCAAGCCTAGAAGGCCTAGTGGATTTCCCAACAACAAGGCCAAAACTGCCCTGAAACTGCCCTGGTTGCGAAATGCCCAATTATTGCGTTCTCGAACAGAATTATTTGCAACTTAACGGCGAATTTAAACCGATACGGGTAAAATAAACTCATTTATAGTATTATAAACTTACTATTTTTATTTGTATACACGTCTAGAAAATCGGTTTTTTTATCATAAAGTTCAAAGCAACACTATTATTTAATTATATGTTGACAAGGTGTAGCGAAAGCACAAAATGAGTCAAAATATATACCAAAAGTAGAATCTTTCATGAAATTTTGTCTTATACACAACTACATTAATATATATTTTCTCAATTTTGGCAAGAAGCAGTCTTGTGTTTGTAAAATATACAAAATAAAACGGATACATATATATTATTAGCCCGTACAGTACTGTATATAAAAACGTACATTGTTTACAAATGGTATATCCGTAATATTTGAACAATAATTTCAAAATCCTCATACCCAATTCGCAAATATAGTTATTCAAAGCAAAACAGTAGATTGTCTAGCGAATAAAAGAATTATTATTTTGTGCCGTTTCGCTACACCTTGTCAACATATATAAATAGTGTTGCTTCAAACTTTATGATAAAAACCCCGATTTTCTAGACGTGTATACAAATAAAAATAGTAAGTTTATACTATAAATGAGTTTATTTTACCTGTATCGGTTTAAATTCGCTGTTAAGTTGCAAATAATTCTGTTTGAGAACGCAACAATTGGGCATTTCGCAATCAGGGCAGTTTCAGGGCAGTTTTGGCCTTGTTGTTGGGAAATCCACTAGGCCTTCTATTTTTTCGCTTGCGTCAGGCTTGTGTCCTTCCTCCGCCCCGCCCCCAAAACACCTAGTCCCAGTCTTTTCATGTGAAAAGCGCTGAATATTAAAAATATATAAATAAAAGTAGAAGGCATAGGTCTAGGCTGGTCTTAGACGAGTTTCCCGCCTCCAATGTTCTCTTCGGCTGTTCCATACACCCTTGCAGACAGTTTGTCATCTCGGTGATAGCGACCTCACTTTCGTGTATCATGAAAACTTGGCTCTATTAAGAACACACGTAACTGCCTGAATTTGCTCGAATCCACACGAAACAATAGCTTGAAATAGAGGCGGGCAATGTAATCCATTGTGCATAATTACTTATCATATCGCCTCACCCGGATCTAAATCTCGTACATTATATGTGTGCAAACATTGTTTGTTCCAACAAATCATGTTCATTTAAGAGCACGCATTAATAAGAAATCTGATGGATTTTAGCAGATCACGTGACCAGCTCCATGCACCTTCGCTCCCCAAGAGTGAAGACCCTGAGTGCGAGGTTGGGTCTAAATTAGATGGATATTCGGGTTTGTGATATTCGGTCTATCGTATATGCGCTTCTAGTAATTTATGGACGGGTTGAACAGGGCTGGAAGCAAGGGCTGGTTTATAGCCAAGCCGAGTTCGTGTATTCCGTCTGCATGTTATTTCCTATTTTTGCACATTTTTAGCTCTATTTGTCATTTGTAGCTCTAAAATATATATATGTTATTTACCGGCTGGGAGTTCCGGATAGAAAAATATTTTGTCGAGGTCTCAAAAACGGCCCGAGGCCGAAGCCTCGGGCCGTTTTTGAGACCTCGACAAATATTTTTTTATCCGGACCGACCTAAATGGTAAATAACGTATTTATTTTTTTGTCGAAGACTCAGAGGCAAATGGCAACGGTTTTATTAGATTGCGCATAATGAAACCAAAACAATAAAAAAATTTTGATATTTAATTATTTTACTTTAGAAAACAAACAATTCAATTAAAATACAGTACAATTATTTTATCCATCATTAAAATTATTTCAAAATTACATATTAATTAATTATTTTAAATTGAGCACGTGCGGTTCACATGCATGTATAATACCTGCTCAAAGTCCACGTCAACGTCAATGTAACAGTCAATCATCGAACAATTGTTTAACCAAGTACAAAAAACAAGTACGTTTAAAAACAACTTTTACACTATTTAATGCATTGCACATTCCGAATCATCGGAAATGATAACTCGTCGGCGTTTAATTAGTTTTTCACTGTTCGCATAGTTGAAATTGAATGTACAGCCTTCAAATTTCCCGATCGAAGCAGCTGAAAATAAACTCGATGCCGATGGCGGAGCTTGTTGTTGTGATCATTTGTTTAGCGATTGTGTTTGAAGATGGGGCCGATTGCCTGGTCAATTCTGGTGTTTTCTTGGCCAAACTGTTCTCCCGAACGGCCGAGAATACGGGACATTTTTCGCTGATGTACAACGGATGCTGTTTTATACGAATCAAGGCTTTTGAGATTTCTATGTCCACTGAGTTGGGCTGCGTAGTTGGTAAGGACGTTGGCTTCCATTAATGGAGAAATACATGTTTTTCTCACACTGTGATTGGTAATATTGCCCTGGATATCTGCATTTTTGGCTGCATTAACCAGAAATTTGCCAATTTCGTTCTTTCCTAGTGGGCCTTTTGCATACCATATTGGATTTTGAGGCACTCGTTTGCGGTTGATCGCCAAGTAGAAGGGAGACTCGGCGGTTTTCATTTCATCTGGGCGACGTCTACTGAATTCTTTATCAAACTTTACCGGACATCGGTCGTTGCTTGTAGCTTGAGCCACGGGGTTGAATGCTCGATAATAATCGTCTCCATGCCTTGTTTTGGACCCTCTTTCTGCTTCCCACAGCAAGAACTCGTTGACAGTCGTTGGGTCTTTGCAAAGCTTTTCGTCTCCCCACTTTAATCGCCTGCCCTCGTCTCGTGCACGAAAGCCAAAATGTAGCGAGAGGAGCCACCATACCGTTCTCTGCAGAGCTTCTGGATTTGAGTCGCCAAACTCGCCTAAGCGAAAGAGTTCGTCTTCCTCTTCGGCTGTGAGTTCTCGGGCTGCTTGAGGCCGGTTTCCTTTCGCGTTTTCAACGACCAACTGTTTTTTTTTTCTGGCAGACAATACTTCTCTGGACTTTTTGAACTGTTGGTCTTTTAGCAGGTTTTGATGGGAGCCTTTGTCGTTCAAGAAACGCTGCAAACTTCGGTGAAAGGAAGTCAAAGACACGGGTTCGTAATGGCTGCCGTCTTTCTTCTTTACGGACATGAAAAATCGACACATAAGCACGTTAAGCTCATCGGAAGGTATGTTTTCTACTTCTCGTCTTTCATTTATGCTGTCAAGGTAACGTCTCCACACAGTCATGTCGTACTGAGTTTTCTTTACCGTACTTTCTGGGCGTTGAGCCATGATGTAATCTTGAATGTTTTCTAGTGCATAGTTTTCGGTATTGTCGTCCTCGTTCGTGTTTATGTTTACGTTTTCAGGACCATTTTCCAGCTCTTCTGGGTAATAAAATTCACTTTCATCGTGATAATCATCGTCCCAGTCCATATTTACAAATTTCCAAATGAAAAGTTTGTAATATTTTTCAGTTTTAAAACAAACATACAAAAAAATTTTGCTTTGCTTCGGTCATTACGTATAGGATTCCGGACCGTGGTCAAATATCGTAAAATTCCGCCCGCTGCTGCAGCCAATCAGATTTCAGAAAACGCTAGGATTCCGCCCGCTGCTGATTTACAAAAAAATAATAGTCCGATATGATGATGACTGACTTAACTTAACTAAAATCTTTCTAGAGTGATACAGAAAGCATACATGAAAGCCAAAGAAACAGGAGAGGATTAAAAAAAGGCACAGGTAAATATAATAAACGCAATATTATTTACAAACACTTGTATTTTAGCAAATCAATAAGAACGCATTATCATTGTGTAGACCGTTAGTGACCTGGACGGTGAAAGCAACACGATGGCAAATAAGAGAAATAGCGAAAAAGATGTAGGACATGAAGCATGTCACTTATGTTTCATAAAAAAATGAGTAGCTACTTCATACTGACAGGCAATTCTTCCTTCACAGGGTGACAATATTCTTAGTAAGAAGGGAAAGCATGCGAAATGGACATCTTGCGAGCAGGTATGCACTTATCGTGTTATGTAACTAACAAGTTGCAAAATAATTGAAGTGCATGACTATTGGACTATTTATTCTAACTGTCCGTACTTGTCTATAGCTACCAGTACCGCTAACGCCACTGTCGCTATGGCAACGATGTCATGATATTGTTTCATACAAATCCTAGGGGACATAAAGACATTTCCATTAGCACGTTTTCAAAGTAAAACTTTGTGACTAGGATAACAATTGTATTAGGAAATGGCAAATCACATGGAAGGACATAGAAATTGTTTGAAGTTGTGTGTCCAACATATTTCGATCTATAGCCAGGATTTACCTTTTATACTGAGAAAAGTGTTTTCTCCTGTACTATGAGAAGTTAATAATTGCATTCTAATTGGTCTTATCTTTTATTTAGAACTTGAAGGAATATTCATGGACAGCCATAGCTTTTGAGCAGGACTTCTACATCGGTAGAGTGAGGGGAAATGGGAAATTCAAGCAGATGGGGAGAAACTTGATATGGAATTTGTCCAGAAATGGGACGGTCGATATCGTTGGCCAACACGAAAATACGAAGCGTTGGTCGATAAAAGGTTTGAGATGAGGGCGTCAGGGAAACATTTCGTGCTTCATCAGCCGACCGAGATCGAAGACGACTTACGCAAAGAATTTAAAGAATACTACCGAAAATTCTTTGCTGAGCCTGAGGAAAGCAATTCGGCTGATTGCAAGTATGTCACGACGGTTTCCTCACTGGCATCAGTGACAGATTTTTGTCCAGTCGACTAAAAATGGCGAACAGAAAAGTGTTTCGAAGTTGGTATCAACTATCGACCTGATTTCCCCCATCCCATCACAGCGCAAACAGAAAATGACGATTTCCAGCAAACCTGCCTCAAACGTTGAAGCCCATTTCCGATGGTAACTGTGTTTCCCTATCCATTTGCTACTGGCTGATGGGTGCTATGGAACAACACCATAATATCCGTTCAGCCGTTGTATGCTTTATGAAAGAAAAATGATCGGAGCAGGGGAAACGGATTGTTAGGAAAGACTTCGAACAGTGTCTTACCGTGCACTTTTCGAATGGGTGATGAGGAAGAAACCAGTGCTACTGAAAATGAGAGAATTTTTGCAACCACCGACCTCTTGGAAACAAAAATTATGGTATTTACGAAATGCACGCAAGGATATAAATGGGTAACCCACAATCCAAGTACACGTCAAGTTAATAACTCCGTTCCAGAACTCTACTTAATAAATATGCCGTGGGTTATAGGGAACCTGAAGGCTGCTTCATTCGGAGCGAAGGCTGCTTCATAGTCAGTACATTCGGAGTACTCCGGGTTTCCTGAAGAATGAGGAACACTAATGGAATGGAACAGAACACGGTCACTGACTGTTGTAAACTATCCAGACTTTCGAGTAGCTGTAACACTTTGTTTGACAGTAAAATACTGTAAGTAAAACTGATAAACTAGTGGCCCTCCCTAATTACAAGATACCGGTACATATAAACTACATTATAGTAAATAAATAGTATAAACAATATCTATAATATATTTACAGAATTTACGTTATAAAATACTAATACTTATTAAAAGTTGACAATTTTTTAGTTTCCTTCTGTTTCTCAATTATTAAATTAACTGAATTTCTTCTTAAAATTCTTTACATTTAATAGTGCTTTTTTAATGTCTAATGGAAGTTGATTCAGCCTTGTTTGTTAATTCTAACACTAAATGTTCAGCGTTTTTCTTGTAGTGCATGGCGGCATAGAAAATATAAGTTTGAGAATCGAGTAGATCTCGTGTGAATATTTAATATGCGTAGGTGTTAATGCCTGTTTCCATCAAATTTCCACAGTATATGTTTGTAATTAGCTTGCTTACTAAAGTGCATATATATTTAATTATTATATAGTAGAGAGTGAGATACTGAAAATACACAGTGAGATATTTTCCATATCTTCACTAGTGAAGATATCGATCACGTGACAATTTGCTTTTGAGCTTGAAATTTCACAATTTTTCGCTTCGGACTATATAATAAGGGACCGGACATAAGTATTTACTAGGGGGTGTGGAGGATATTTTTTTTTTTGGGGGGGGTACGAAAAAAACAACAGAACCTCTAGGGGGGTACCAAAATCTTAATACTATAGGTACGGAAAAAAATTACATTTTATAATTATTGTTGAATATTGAATGTATTTGTGCCCAGATTTAAGTTTATTTATTAAACTACACTATAATTATTATTAAATCAACACAAAGTATATGTGTTTCAGTCTGACTCAATGTCAGATGATAAGTAGGATTCAGTATCCATGGAACTTTTGGAATACAAATCTGATACATCTGAATTGTCAATGACAATGCTAGCAAGCTAACACTATTAGAACCTGTTAATGATTGAAGGGGGTGGGGGGGGCATGAAAATTTTCACTTACATTGAAGGGAGGTTACAAAAGATTTTCCATAGGTTTTTGGGAGGGTATGGAAATATGTACTTGAAATTTCATTTACCGTCCACCCCCCTCTAGTAATTACTTTATGACCGGTCCCTAAACAGAATATTACAAGGTGGCTTGAAGATATGCGCTCGTTCGTAAAATATTGTTTTCACCACTCGAAGATAAAAGTCCCACATACCAACGGTCTCCAAGTCCCACCAACTAATGGTCTCCATTAGTCCCACCTACTTGTGGTCCCCAAGTCCCACCTACTGATGGTGCCCTGAAGTGCAACCTAATAACAATACCAAAGTCCCACCTACTAATGGTCCCCAAGTCCCACCTACTAACAGTTTCCAAGTCCCACCTTACTAACAGTTCCCAAGTCCCACCTACTGATGGTCCCCAAGTGCAGTCTAATAATGATACCCAAGTCCCACCTACTACTTAATGGTCCCCAAGACCCACCTACTAACACTCCCAAAGACCCACCTACTAACACTCCCCAAGTCCCACCTAATTAATGGGCCCCGCGTCCCAACTACAAATGGAGTAACAGTACCCAAGTCCCACCTACAAATGGTCCCAATTGTAATGACTTTATTAGCATGATCTATAATTACAAGATATTGCTAAAGTACTGTAGTTCCGTCAATATAGCTGTTAACGTTCATAACTAACTAATAATAACATATTTTTTAACTTTATATTATTTACATATTGGTGATCACTATGAGAATATTTAAGATTACAAGATATATTACTATTTCAGGGTTTTAATTTAATATGTAGTGTCTATATCGGTTAAGGATTTTTTTTATTTTTTTTTTAATACCATTTGTTTTAGGTATTATTTGTATTTCTGGCTTCAAAGTACTGATTCCGTTTTTCAAAACTAACTGTAATATATTTTGAAAAACCATTCAGTACTTTCGGATCATTAGACTTTATTATATTCACGAGGTTATCTTTTTTTTTGGTAGTCGAATGTTTCGTTGCATTGTCTTTGTAATATATTGTTTGTGGTGTTTCTGTCTTCTCTGTAGTAGTTACAAGATAGTGCAAAGTGATATTCATCTTCAATTTTGTTTGTATCACAGAGATTACATAAGCGTTGTTCACGGGGGATGTTGTGATATCGACCGTATTCAATCTGTAACTTATGACAACTTATTCGAAATTTAGTTGCTGCTTTTCTTTGAGATGTGTTTCTTATAGTTGTAAGGTAGTCCTCTAACTTATATTCAGACTTAAATGTGCTGTAGAAAGAGAGTTTGGAGGAATTGTCTAACTTATGTTTCCAAAAGGTGACATATTTATTTTTAGCATTGCTTATAAATTGACTTTGTTGATGAATAGTAACAGATTCTAATTTATTTAGTTCATCATTTACGTTAGCGTATGATTTAAGTATCTTCATGACATTGGAGTAAAAACTGGGTTTATTCAGTTCATAAAGTTCTTTGGAGATTAGGAATGCTTGTTTCACAATAGTGAAGTCAGAAAGGGTATTAATGTGTGCAAGGTATTTGATTATTCTTTTGTGTATGGTTATTAATAGAGGAAATTTTCCTAATTCACCTCTACACGCTACATTTGTTGCTTTTCTATTAAGTTAACTCCTAAGTATAGTTTGCAGAATCTGGAATGAACTTTTTCTGTTTCGGATTGATCCCATTTATTAAGATCGCTATTATTGAATGCACCCCATACTTCTGAATTATATAGAAGTATTGGCGAGATAATACTGTCAAAAATTTTGATTGCTAGTTTTGGATTGAGTGAATGAAAATCAACTTTTTTCTTTGTGCTGAACATAGCATGTTTTGCTTTATCAGCAAGTTGTTTCATTGCTATGGTAAAAATCCCCAAGTCATTATTAAAATTAACATGGCCCCCAAGTCCCACCTACTAATGGTCCCCAAGTCCCACCTACTAACGCCAAGTAATAGGTGGGACTAGGTCCCCAAATCCCACCTATGAATGGTCCCCAAGCCTTCTCTTATCCAGAAATGGTCACATGCCATGAATTTGAAACATTTCAAAAAGGATGTGATAGTACGTAGAACTTGGCAAGATGGCATCACAAACTGTGAAAAGGTGTTATATGCAAACACATGAGCATAACAAGCCCACTTATCGTACCACAGACTGGATCTTGTTTTAACAGCAAAACCATAAATACACACTTTCTGAATTTTCCTGACACAAAACAATAGCTTGTAATCGAGGTAAATAATTTTAAATCCATTGAAAATAAGTAGTTTTCATTGCCAGCAACAAATTTGGCAAGTGTCTATTGGATGGTTAAAATCGTAGTATGTGTGCCCAGCTTTAGTGAAACTCACATGCAACTATGCCATAAATATCGATACATG